CTTACTCACTCCTGACTATACTCGTGCTTCCAGAGCTCAGATCAAAGCGAGACTTTACACCAATCGATCGAATGGTGTCAACTGTTCTTGTGACTCAATCTCCAAGTTTTCTATGTGCCTACGTACAATACATTACCGTGCTCGATCGAAGCTGCGAAGCTGCCTGAGCATTATTGGGCGGCTCAATGCACTTTAAATCGCGGCCAAGGAACCAATTGTTCGCACAAGTCGTTGCGCCGGGTCTATGAGACCGTTATCGGTTTCTTTTGTTCCAATAAGTTTCGCTCGGCTCCGGTACTCCTGAACTGCAACGTCAAAACATACAATTGATAGAATAGATGCAGTAGAAGCCTTGCATACTGGGCAGTGCAGCTCCAATGGATGTCATGAAATAGCTTCGACGGGAATATGATACATCAGGGGTGGAGATGCGCTCACTGTGCAAAAGGGGAAGTTCTTGTCTGCGCACAGAGTCAAACTGATATAATTTCTGCACTCCATACCGTACATACGTAGTGTGACAATGTAACCAAGTTGAATATGGCAGACGAGCTGATGTTCACAAATATTGAGCCTCGATCGATCGTTCTAGGCGCTCCGGAGCCACTATCTTGATGCCTTGTGTTGGCCTGGGGTTTCTGGCCACCAGCACTACCTAAACCGGTAAGTGCCCGCGGGGCGGAAGCGCCTCAGAAAAAGTTGGCCGCCAATTCGATCATCAATCATTCTTTGCATCGAATTGCAGATCCATCCAGAGTCTTCCTCCCTGGTTGTCGCAATTAGGACTCAACATGCCCTCCACATACAAGAGAGATAAGCCGTGGGATACGGATGATATCGACAAATGGAAGGTTGGTGCAATGATCCCATACCAAAAAAAAAAAAAAAAAAAGAAAAGATTTTTCGAGATGTACTGGCGACAAAAACGCATGCTAACCTTGCAAATCTGCGACCAGGTCGAACCTTTCAACGCCGAAGACAATGTCGCCGGTAGTTTCGCCGAGGAATCCTCGTTTGCGACTCTGTTCCCCAAGTACCGCGAACAATATCTCAAGGAGGCCTGGCCCCTCGTGACGAGATCCCTGGAGAAATATGGCATTGCTTGTACCCTCGATTTGGTCGAGGGTAGCATGACGGTCAAGACGACGCGGAAGACCTTTGATCCTGCTGCCATTCTCAAGGCGCGCGATTTGATCAAGCTTCTGTCTAGAAGTGTCCCGGTGCAACAGGTAGGCAATATTCCTGTCGCCGACGCTACATCCAAAAAGAAACTTCTCGCTGATTGACATTATCCTCCAGGCCCTGAAGATTCTCGACGACGAAGTCGCATGCGACGTTATCAAGATCCGCAACCAAGTCCGCAACAAGGAGCGCTTCGTCAAGCGCCGCCAACGTATCCTCGGACCCGGCGGCTCCACCCTCAAGGCGCTCGAGCTCCTCACCGGCACCTACATCCTGGTGCAGGGTAACACGGTCGCCGCGATGGGACCCTACAAGGGGCTGAAGGAAGTGCGCAAGGTCATCAACGACTGCATGGCCAACATCCACCCGATCTACCACATCAAGGAGCTCATGATCAAGCGCGAACTGGCCAAGGATCCCTCGTTGGCGGAAGAGTCGTGGGACCGGTTCCTGCCCAACTTCAAGAAGCGCACCCTGTCGAAGCGTCGCATGCCGTTCAAGGTCACGGACAAGACGAAGAAGGTGTACACGCCTTTCCCCCCGGCCCCGGAGAAGAGCAAGGTGGATCTGCAGATCGAGTCCGGCGAGTACTTCCTCTCCAAGGAGGCCAAGGACCGGGCGCAGAAGGAGGAGATCATGGAGAGACAGCGGGTGAAGCGGGAGGAGAAGATGAAGGAGCGCGAGAAGGCGTTCGTGGCGCCCGAGGAGCTCGAGGCGGCCGAGAAGGCCAAGAAGGAAAAGAAGGAGAAGAAGGAGAAGAAGAAGCGGAAGCGCGAATCGGAGGCTGCGGAGCTGGAGGCGGACGCCGACGCCTCGGACCGGAAGGAAAAGAAGAAGAAGAAGAAGAAGAGCAAGTCGAAGGAAGAGACGTCCGATGGCGAGGCTTAATTTGTCCTGTCGTCTCGTGGGGTCTTTTTGCTCGGTGGTTCTTTTCTTCTTCTTGTCAGGGGATTCCCCCTTCGTGTGTGTGGACTTTCGTAATATGGCGCTTAGGCATAGCATGGGCTGGAGTTAATTATATGTTTCTTGACTCCCTTCTATCTTTTGTGAGCCAGGAGGGAAGGGATATCAAAAGCTTGAATTGAATGGATTGGTTACAGTGGATTGTATTCGTATCGAAGGTTAGGTCTGTCACATACGGAGGTAGCGTCACAGACCCTGAATTCCCATAGGAGTGAGCTTGTCCAGAAAGTTCAAACGTCCCTCCGTCCAGACGCTACTGCTATTCTCGACATTGTTCTCCAGCCTGACATATGCTATACTATCCCGTAAACTCCTTGCCCAAAAACCACACCCACTCCCAAATCCCTCGCCCCCCCTCCCTCCTTTCCCAGCAGAAAACAATCACCCATCCAAATCCCGTACATAGGTCACCCCCGTCGCCGGATCCTCGTACTCGCGATGCACGCGCCTCGACCCATCCGCCCGCTCCTCCACCTCCCGCAACTGATACCCGCCCCCGGCCGTCGACGTCTCCTGCCGCCAGCGATGCGACACCATTGGATCCTCCCTCGGAGCGGAGTCCTGGACGGAGACATGGTCCGCGAGGAGGTTTTCATCGGCCTCGTCTGCTGGCATGGCGGCGCTGCGGACGGCGCGGGCGCCATAGTCGGTTGTGGCGTCGTCGTCCGGGGCGGCGGTGGTGTTATGGGCGATGGCGTCGTCTTCGGCGTCCATGTCGGCTATGAGGTTGTAGATGGGGCTTGTTTCGGTCATTTTGTAGTGTTTTCTCTTATTATTGTGGGGGTTGGTTTGTTTTGGGGTTGGGGATGTTGTTGGTGTAGGGTGATGACGTTCCGGGTGGGTAGTGATATATAGTAGCTAGTGCAGGACTGGCAAAGGAAATTAGGCGCGAGAGGTTGCAATTTACTGCTGTATAAGTCACTGATTCATTGAATAGGGGAGATTGTTGAGTTCACACCTCTGAGTTCAGTATACTATTTGTACGAGGAGCTGTACCTGGGTCTGTCGAGCAAGCAGCTTCACGTCATGTTGCCACCCACCATCGGTTCATCTTGATGTAATCGTTCTCGGAACTTATTGATTGGCTATTGCTCCGTGAGATATGTGTTACCACTGAATAATACGAGATAAGAAGGAGTTTAATTTGCTTAATGTCAGAGACCAAGAGCTTGAATGCTTATATCTCTCGTTGTTGAAAAGCATTGAGCTTGTCAGTTCGCGGCGGAGCCAGTCTGAACAAGGCTTGTAGTATTACCATGGATCTATATACTACGAATAATGGCAGGACCACCTTCTGCTAAGAACGATATAGAATGACCATTTTAAAAGCACGTATAATCAATGACAGCTATTATCGTCTATTGACTCATTAGTGTATTCACAGTAAGCGCGGACCTTCTGCGAGGGCAACAGTAGCACAACCCGAAAGCTAGTATTGGAGAGGCACTTCCTCACCTAGCTTGTCCAGCAAGTATTGAATAATTGAACCGAGAGAGTAGGCCGGTTCTTTCATCTGGAGAATGCGGGGTCTAGTGACTTGAACACCATGCTCTGGATCAGCGAGGAATGTCAGCAACTAATTTGACAAGTCTCCGGTCCAATGTGTGGCAGACTTCTGTCAATGAACCATTAGCTATTGTATCCATTCATGGATAGTGAAAACAAACAATCACGTACTCATCGCTAGACCTAAATCCCAATTTTCTTCTCAATATACTAGCCCGATCCACGACCAGAGACCGACACAAAACCGACTTGCATTATTTACATTCCTCCCGAAATGCAATTTTATGCCGCAACAACATCCAAAGAATGGTCCAGACACCCCCGAGCAAGTATTTAGCAAGGAGGCCCTTTCGACACAGCCCAAAAGACCCTCCCTCTCCTCCTCTCTGCTCGTTTTCTCTGAATCCTGTCATCAAGGTCTTATGCAATAGCACCACCATGTGCCCCCACCGACTCCTACACATTCCAAGACATCTCACCACCCACCACCACAGACAACCAGACCAGAAATCACCGGCCGCCCGACAGCCATGAGGGTCAGCTCGCCCTTCAAATCCTCGCCCAGCAAGGCGAAACAATCCCGCTTTAATAATGAGGACGGCTGCTTTGTGCATCGTCTCCCGGAGACACCACCAAACCCGGTACGGAACTACTATATACATTCTACAACTCACTGTGTTACTTCGCTATTCAACAAAAATCTACCCTTCTTAGACAAGACATCTCACCGTTTCCTGACAAGAAGACACTAACCCGTAAGGTAACTCAGCCCCCGGGTCGCAAACGATTCAGCCCCATCAAGACCAAAACGTCCAAGAAACAGCTCGCCCAGCAACAACACCCCCTGTGTCCCACCCCAGCGGCAGCAGCAATCACACAACCCCGATCCCGAAAGAGCAGCAGCTCGTACAGAAAACCCCTCTTAAGCCACCAACAGTCGCGGACGGCGTCCAGTTCCACGACCCACCACCATAGGATCTACCTACCGGAGAGCATTTCATTTACTCGCCAGCGGCGAAACACGCTGTGCGCTGAGGACGAGGACGAGGACGAGGACGATAATGATGAAGAACAAACAGAAGGGGAGCCGTCGCCGTGCGTGGAGATCGTCTCCCGCAAAGTCACGGCCAAAAAGCTCGGGCTGGCGTCGCGGGTGAGGCGGCGGCTGCAGTTTGCGACGGCGGCGTCGGCGATGAGTAGTCCAAAGGGGTGGATGGCGCCAAGCAAGAGGAAGAAGAAAGATGGGAAAGAGTCGATGCGTAAAGGGTTTCAGAGGTTGGGCACGGCGGAAGGGTCGCCGGAGGATGTGTTTCGCGATTATCAGAGGGAAGGGTTGGTTTGTGGGTCGTGATCTTGGTGCGTTTGTGGTTTGGAGGTTGTGGGTTGATGATGTGTATACTATGGTGGGAAGTGTACTGATAGATAATGAACGATGTATGAGTATGATGTCCAGTATTCTAGTCGGAGTACGAATACTTTCTAGAGCAGCGAAGCAGAGCCCCAGCAACGCTTGACCGTACTGTCTGCTCGACTCCAGCTCTCGTTGATCCGTTGATTCACATCCGCCGTGCCAAGGAATTCATGGTGGAGCCCGTTGCAAGTAATGTGCTTCATCTTTCCACCGTCCATGTCGTACAGTGCCCACACGGTGACCTTGATCACATCTCCGGCTTGTGCCTTGTACCCGTGGACAGCGCGGTCTGTGGCCTGGCAGTAGCGAAAATATGTCTCCATCACGAAGAAAATGTGCCCTTGGTCAACCATGACCAGTATGGGGACGACGGTCTCCTCCGCGGTGGCATGAAGTACAGCATAGTGATTCATGATGCCTTCGGACCCCACGAGGGTTCCCACCTCCGGGTCGGGAATGACAAGACGGACATCTGGGTGGTAGAAGGAGTGTTGTTTCCGGTAGTCTTTGGCATTGAAGGCCCGAATGTACTCGAGAAACTGCCTGAGCGATAGAGATGCCATGATTCAGTCTGAAGGTGCGATTCGGGAGAGTATAAATGGCAAAGAAGATCTGTTAAGAGTTATGCTACCCCTAAGTTGCTGGTGAGAGTCGATCTTGGATCATCTTTATACTCAGCTGCCAAGTTGGTGCCTGTAATTTCATACGTATATTGATTGCGTGGACGACGCGGGGTTCGCCTCGGTTTGTGGTGTTGCATTGAACGTCGGCTCCATGATGTCCCCTCCACCTGCCGGGACCAACAGGTGAGGGCAGTAGATGATCATCCCGACCAACGAACATACAGTTCAGTCCATTCGGATAAGGTGTTTCTTTTAAGCTGCAAGCATCGGAAGAAGTGCCCTCGCGCGGGAGTGCCAGTCTGAGAGAGTCAGAGATAAATCATGGCCTTGTGTGTTCATGCTTGGAGTAGGGAAGAGATGACAGCACCCACTGCTCCTCCATGAAGCCCGTCCCACTAGTCAGTTCGTGAGGAAGTTTCAAGCTTGGCGTTGTTGCTGACATCGGGCAATTACTGTCAGGTCCTTAGAATAATTAGTAAATTCTCATGTAGTTACTCTAGGTTAGGCGAAGGCTCTAGGCTTTTAATCTCGGATTCTTGTGCCGTGTCTGCGCCAGTGTAGCCAGTGTGGCCAGTGTAGCCAGTGTAGTCAGTGTATTTGGGAAGAAAAAGACGGCGGGACGGAAAGGAGCTGAGTGAAAAGCTGAGCAGCCGCGGGCGTATTCGAGTACGATGATCGACCACATTGCACGTTCCCTTCATCCTCCAGGCTGGATCCATCCATGGACGGATCCACACTGAACTACCTCTCCACACGAGCGGACAAATAGCATAGCATGGGACCAATTCAATATAACTAAAGACGGCCAGACCCGCTTTTCTCCTAGTTATCCTAACGATCAGGTACCTACCTCCATACCTACAGTGACTTTCCTACTGTTGAAACCTCGTCTAATAGACCTCACACTCTAGGACCTTCTTCGTTGTGTCCAATTATCGAGCCTCGATTCCTGATATTTCAGTCCACATCGTCCACATCCAAAAGTCAAATTTCTACTCCAACACAAATTAACCATTGTCGGGGTCGAGGATCTTCAACCGCCGCACATCCAATTTGCCCTGCTAGGTAATCCCCGCGCCTATCATCGAAATTTATCGCATCTTTGGAACAAATTTAGGCTTCGCAGGCAGCAAACTTACCAGCGCCTGTCAGTCTTTTATCCGATCTACCATAGCTCATCTGTCGTGCTCCAATCAGCGACCAATCGCTGACTCGTCATTTCAACGGTATAGGATCCAGATTGGCTCGAGGCCTTCAACGTATTCGGCGTATCGAGTGGATCCAGTCCTAGACAGGGCTCACGGTAACTTTGAAGCTTTCGCATCCGAGTCTGACACCCTATCGACGGGCTGCTGGCGATGGAATCAGTGAACGACACACGATTGGCAAGCAGCCTGCCCAGGCTACCAAGAAGGCTTGAGATCGGTGCTCGAGGAAGATATGTCAACCCGAAGTATCCTCATATTTAAAACCTCGTCGCTCCCCCTCGTTTTGTCAAATGTCAGTCACTCAGCCAGTCAACAATGGCTTTCATCATCGAGCAGCTGGAAAGCTACAATCTGCTGCAAGGCGCAGTCGTGGCCTTTCTCTTGGTCTTTGTGTTGAGAATTTCTCAGGAGTCCACTGAAGGCTTTCCTTACAAAAACATTCCCCTGATCGGGAAAAGCAGATGGGAGCTCTCGAACAGCAAGGCTAAGCAGCGATTCGTGACATCCGCTAAGGAGCTCTTCGCGGAGGGGTTCAGCCAGGTTCGTGCATTGCTCAGCCCAGGACAAATAGGGTAGAGCTCTCACAGCTGCCTTGTACCATGCGCTAAAAGGGACTCGATATAGGGCAGAAAGGTCTTTCAACTGGTCGCAGCCTCCGATCCAACCGTCGTGCTCCACCCCAGCCTTGTGGATGAGGTCAAGAACCACCCGCATCTCAGCTTCGACGAAGCGAACAAGAAGGTAGTCTCTACCCTTATGGTATAGCATTGGCCCAGCCGATCTAAGTCATATCCGAGCAGTTTTTCTTTGGATCTAAAATTCCCGGCTTCGAGGTCTTCGAGAAGGTAGAGCCGGTTCAAATAGATGTGATCAACAAGCGTCTGACCCACTCTCTCGGTAAGTGATGCTCCAAGTCGGCATGTGGCACCGCTAGAAGATATTTCAGGTCAACTCGTGAGCCCTTTATCGAAGGAAACTAGCGCCGTGCTGCGAGAAAAGTTTCCCAAAAGTGATGGTATGTGCTCCCCCTCTCAGACGGACTGCTCAACACTGACCATGGTGGCACACAGCATGGACTCCGGTCAGCTTCGCCATGGAGATCCCATACATCGTTGCACGGTTATCTACCCTCGTGTTTCTGGGTGAGAAAATTTGTCGCGACGAACAGTGGCTGAATGTCTCCGTCAACTTCACCATCGACGCCTTCGTGGGTGCGCGCGATCTTCGAGCTTGGCCATCGATTCTTCAACCGTTAGTGCACTGGTTCATACCCACCGTCCAGGGGGTGCGCAAACATGTGAAGATTGGGTCCGCGATCGTCAACAAAGAGATGGAAAGGCGAAGACTCATTCGAGAGGGGCGGCTCCCCGCAGAGAACCCGCCCCGAAGCCACGAGGATACACTGGACTGGTTTCATGAGCTTGCAGACGGACGTCCGTTGAACGTGGCGCAGGCGCAAATGGGCCTTACTCTGGCCGCCATCCACACGACGTCCAACCTCCTGACCAACGTGATGTACGACCTGACGGCCTACCCCGAATATATCCAGATACTCCGCGACGAGATCCAGACGGTTATTACCGAAGACAGCGGCTCTCTGAAGAAGACCAGCCTCACGAAGATGAAGAAAATGGACAGCGTGCTGAAGGAAAGCCAGCGAATGAACGCCGCCGGAATTGGTAAATAGCCAAACACCACAACCCCTTCCAATAATACATATCATGCTAACCATAACATCCACCAGCCTTCCTCAACCGCCTCGCCACGAAAGAGGTCTCCCTTTCCGACGGCACCCGCATCCCCAAGGGCGCAAGCATGCTGGTCTCCGCCCACATCTTCGAGGACGCGTCCATCTACACCTCCCCGGATGTCTACGACGGCCTGCGCTTCTACAAGTGGCGACAATCCCCCGGCAACGAGCACCGGTTCCAGTTCGTGACGACGAGCGCGGAGCACTACGCCTTCGGCCACGGGATGCACGCGTGCCCCGGACGGTTTTTCGCGGCGAACGAGATCAAGATCCTGCTCGTGCATCTGCTGATGCGCTACGACTGGAAGTTCGAGGATCGCACCGGGCGACCGCCGAACTTCATGCATGGGACGGAGTCGATCTGCGACCCGACCGTCCGGTTGTTGTTCAGGTCTCGGGAGCCGGAGGTGGATCTCTCGAGGTTGGAGTAGGGTCTAGGGGTTGACTCTTGTGGTTGTTGGTTAGAACAGGAACTTGAACGCTATCCACCGCAGAAATTAACACATGTACTGTACAAACATCGAAGACAACAAACATGTCTCTTCTGTTTCGGTTGCTCTGCAGGACTGCAGTAGCAGCCGGCACAAACTCTCACACATAACACCGTTATGACGCAAGTTCATCCATATCCAAGATAAGAAGTGAAACCCACCTAAGGCAAGGGATAACTAGTGGACCATCAAGCAGGATCCAGTAAATCATGCGGCAAACTTCTCCTTCGCCTCCACCCCTGCAATGCAACAAGAATCCGCTTGTGGAACTTCGGCGGGGGGGGGGGTGGTCACTCATGACGTGGGTAACGAGAGCAAAAGGGGGAAATCACTTCATATTGATATTGCGTGTGTTCCGGGATGATTTGGATGAGCTCAGTGTACAGCAACCCCTCTACCGGGACTGCCGTGCAGCTGCTACATACCTCGACTCCGCCGGACCGAGAATGCGGGTACACTGGGAATTACATCGCTAGCATAGGCGATTCGATTTTCTGAGATATATACTCGATGAAGGAAGGTGGGGGCTTGCTGGAGAGGTTTAGTTACCGAGGTCTGAGGCTTCTGTGGGATGCGTGCATGATTAGGATAGCTGAGCAGTTGGCCCGTGGGTTGTTTTCCTCGGGATGTCGGATGGGAATGATCGGGGTTGTGGTGGTGGCTGTTGGTTCGATGTATGCACTCGCATGTACAGTACATGTCCTGTCCCGTACTGGACTGGACTCAGGGCGATAAACTGAGCACACAGGAGGTGGGTAGAAAACACTCCGGTAAAGGTTGTCGTAGTCACGGAGATAGGATATAATGGTCGACTGCCAGGGTGGACGGGGATGGCATTGCGAGGTGGTAGTTTTGGAGAATCAACATTTAGTATAGGACCTGTTGACGTGTGCGTGATATGCACATACACGATCCTTGGGATCACCTGTCAAGGGTTGACTGCCTAGGGATGGGGTGCAGAGTACTGTGCGTAGGTATCTAATATAAAGCGTTGTGTACAGTACAATAGCACATACTCGAGTACTCAGTGCATGCAGGAGAGACGAGGGCTGATAAGCTTAATGGATCAAGGGTGCAGGCAGGATTATCAGAGCATCGACAGGGATTAGATAGATAGAGGTTTCGTGCTTATGTTTATATATCCTCTTCTGTCTGCCTAGTAATTGGATAGTATGCGGAGTTCTATGTGTCCTATGATGGTTTGCGGGAAGGAGAGTCAGTCAATAAATCTTTAGAAGAACCAAACTCAAGCAGATCCCAACAACGACAACTTCTGGTAACTGTTGTTTGATCCATGGGGAGCAGTGTCTGGATTAGATCTGGACCCGACCCAGGTTCGCGCTGCTCTTGGTTCCTGAAAGTCTGCTTTGATTCTAGTGGGGGGGGGGGGGGGTCCCCCACTTCCACTTTTTAGTACGTAGTCCGTTCATATCTTCATAATAATTTCTATGTCACTTAGCACTTAGCGTGGATATCATAGTAGCGGTGTCTAAGAATAGTCTTCCGTAGACTCTCTGGTGGACTCTCTTCCTTGTTCCTGGACCGAAGTGCTCCAGCCCCAGCCACCTGCTTTTTTACGCAGTTTCTATTTTGGTGTTCAACAAGTTGGAGCTTGAGAATCAAGTATTCGGGATGTTGAAGTGGTGTGAATGCTACCCAGTATTTATTTATGAGGGTTAGTTGGTCTATTAGTCAGGGACTGAGACCCTGGCGGTACTGCGTAAGATGGTAACCTCCGTACTGAGGTACTGAGACTGGCACGTTGCGAGTGGTGGAAAGCAAGTCATAAACGTTCTGTTACACAGACGCGCGGATACGCGTCGATCACGCGGTAAGGTCGCGTCTACCCCACCTCGGCACGCGTCGGAAGATGCAGATAAGCTCAATCGGGTATAGGTCCTGTGCTTGAGACAACTAGTTCCTCTAAGGTTAGTAAGATGCCTTAGTTACATACAGCAAGAATACCAGG